TAGGAGGGATCAAAGTAAGCATTAAGGACAAGATCTATGAACAAAATATACAACAAACGTTTTATTAATTATTCAATAGTTTGTATAGGAGTGATCAAAGTAAGCATTAATGACAAGATCTATAAACAAAATATACTAACAAACATTTTATTAATTATTCAATAGTTTGTGTAGGAGGGATCAAAGTAAGCATTAAGGACAAGATCTATGAACAAAATATACAACAAACGTTTTATTAATTATTCAATGAATTAGTAAGAGAAAAATTTGCTACACAATTATTATTATGCACTAATAGGCAAAAATTGCAACAAAAATTAAATACTTGTCAGAATGATTTATTTTTTAGTGATATTCAACTTGATAATAAATGGGGCAAATGGAAAAATCAATCCAGAAATTATGAGCAAATAATTATTAATCAAAATCAAAATATTTTAAATTTGCAAAATAATATAGCAAATCAACCAAACATGGCTACTATTCATGAAATATATTTAATATTACAACTGCCACTTAGTCAAATTCCCAATTATATAGGAAAAGAACCTCCAGATGAGTATTATCAAAAAATTATTAATGTTATTGATTCTATAAATACTGTAACTATGGCTGCCAATACTGCCAATGCAGGTACTTTTACTGATGCTCATAAATGTGATATCTTAAAAGGTAAAATGGGTGAAAAGTTTTCTCCTGTACCAGCTAATGATCCATTTACTGTAGGTAACCCTCTTATTAATACTCCAGCAACTTTTCAAGTTTGGCTTCAACATAAATATCAAGCAGTAACAGCAGGAAATTCAGAGTTGGCTTTACAGGCACTGATGCAAGGAAAATTTAATCCATTAGATACTCCAGATACTTATGAATCTAGAATCCAAAAAATTATAGTTGGTTTTCAAGATGATATGGTTATACCAGCATTATATACCCATCTTCCTCCTGATATTTGTAGTACTGTAAAAATGTATATGACAATAAGAGGTGCTAATCTAACTATAGATAATTTCTTTGCAGATTTAAAAAAATGCTGGATTGAATGTCAATCTGGAAACAATAGTATACAACCAGCATTAATAAATCAACAACAAACCAATAATGCATTAGATATTTTAGCTAATTTAGCACAACGCTTGGGTTATTCAGGGGATTTAATTGATTATAATCAAATGCAAAAATATATTGAAAATGATCTTTATAGAAATTATGGAAGGCAAGTTCATAATAAGAAAAATGAACCATTTGAACCAGTAAGAAAAATATATACTACGCAACCTGCTTCTAGAAAGGTAATTATAACAAATAAAAATTCAAGACAATGCTCAATTTGTAAAAAAGTTGGACATAC